AGCCTTCTAACTCCCTCCCCCCAATCGAACGGGACTGTTTTGAAGAGACCCCTTTAATTTTGACAATATTAATGGTGTTGCCTGAGCCACATCAGAAGGCACACAATTCTAGAGTTTGATGAACACATTCGTTTCCTCTCACTGATCTCTGACTCTTGAATACTGTAGACTGCTTAGAGAAATGCTAACATGCACATTTGTATATGTGTCACGTCTAAAGCATGTTTATGTGTACAAATAGTATCCACGTGTGGGGCTGTGAGTATAGCAGAAGCATGACCTTAGGAATTGGCTAGGTTCTAATCCATTCCCTTCTGTTCTCAAGCAGTATGACCTTGGACAAAATAAGATGTTTGAATGTGTTTGCTCCTCTGTAATTTGGGGGAACTAATCCCAACCCTCAGGATTCTTGGTGCATTGGTTTTCATGTGTGGCGTATCATGAGGACTAGAAGTCCCTACATTCTTAGGACTATCACAGTAAGCACATTTTCTTGGCTGCGAGTTGAGCTGATTCTCTGTAGAAGGTTTTTTGGGTTTTGTTTTAATTTAAACATTTCCAAGAATTAGTTATTCATATTTAAATTGTTAACAAATGTAAAAAATATATATATATTTGATACCTACTTCATGTAGATATCCTTCACAGTAAACTAGGTCTCTCCTGGGATATAGCGTTTCCACCATGCTTCTCAAAGGTGTCCACAAGCCAACACCAGTGGCTTATTATCACCCACAGGCCTATGCAAAATACGGATTCTCAGATCCCAGCCCAGACCTTTTGAAATAGAAACTGCATTTCAACCTTTATTTATTTTCACACTAAAGTTAAAGAAGAACTTTTCTAGTAGAGTGATCACTGGTTCTTAAGTTGGAAGACCTAGGTTCTCGTGGAGTTTTTTTGTTGTTTTTTTTTAAAGGTTTTTAACCAGGACCTTCAGTAAGAAATAGATTTAATATCATTACCCAACGAAGAGGAGCATACGTGCTCATAAACACATGTAGTTAAAATAAAAATTGCACCAAACAGTATTTACCCTTGCTGTATGCTGAGCACGCAGACATTTTTTTATTTCAACTTAAAATATGCCAGCCATGGCCCCTTAAATTGATTTTATAATCATTCGTAAAGAACTGTTGTTTTACATGACATTGTGCACTTTTTCCTCCCCAGGCCTTGATTTTCTCAACTGTAAAAGCGTGTATGTTGTATCAATTGATTTCAAATGTCTCTTAGCTTAGACAGCCTGTGTTGCACTTCAATATGTGAAAATCCACTTCTGGACCACATTTTAGAAGCAGCATGTTTATTGGTTATTGTATGTGTTGTTTTATTGAGAGGGCGGAAGGAGCGCAGACAAACAATGGCTCACAGGCCACAGCTTTTGCATAATAAAAGCTCACAGCCCAGAGTGGTAGACCGTGCAAAGTGAACAATTACATGCCGGTCCTAAACGTGTGTCATTATTTAAAACAAACAAAACACACTTTTAAGCTTTTAAAAATGTGTATACTTTGTCAGTGTGTAACTAAAACATAGTGAACTAAATCCTCGTCCTGTTTAATACACAATCAGAATATTTTTTTGGGGGGAGGGAGGTACCAAATTACTTTATTTGAAGGAATGGTACTAAGGAAAGAACTTGTAGATGTTTTGGTACAACTTACAGAAAAGGTAAAGGTAACCCAAACATGCATGCACTGCCTTGATGCAGGGAAGTCACCCCTGTGGCTACAGGAAGCCAGCCTAAGGCTTAGCTCTCATTATCACTGTATTCCAGGGTGTGCTTGTCAAAGAGATACTGTGTCATGCCAGATTCGGGGGCCCCCATCTTGGGCAAGTTGGTTATGTGGTCACCCAGTTCTTTGATGGATTTCACCTGCTCATTCAGGTCATGAGTCTCAATGAAGTCGCACAAATTGGGGTCATTTTTGTCAGTGGCCAGTTTGTGCAGTTCCAGTAGTGACGGATTCACACTTTTTTCCAAGCGTAGCGCACGTTCCATTGCATTCAGCCCGTTCTCCCAGTCATCGCGGTCTGGTTTCTTGATATCCTGAAGGAAGATTCGGCCACCCCGTTGGTTCTGCAGCTGATTCATCACTTTCTCAGCATGTTCCCTCTCCTCACGAGACTGATGAAGAAAGTATTTGGCAGAGTTCTTCAAAGCCACATCATTGCGGTCAAAATAGTACGACACGGACAGGTAGACGTAGGAGGCATATAGCTCCAGGTTGATCTGGTGGTTGACGGCGGCCTCCGAGTGCTGGTGGTAGTGCTGGCGCCCCTGCGAGTGGGACGCGGTCGTCATGGCGGGCGGCCGAGGGGAGGCGGCAGCGGGGACCTTGGGGCGGTCGGAGGGCGCCGTGAGGTGGTGGCGAGGGCTGGTGCTGGGCGGCCGGCCGGAGCGGGGGAAGAGCGTCGGGTTCCGTCCAAACACTGTCGAAGCAGGAAACTGTGGCGACTCTTCGTGAACTCTGCAGTGGAGAAAGCTGACAACATCTTGACCGGTGATGAGAACTGAAAGATCACCAGTGAAGGGCAATCATCGTGTCCCTCCTGATGTGGTGCCCTGAGAAGGGCACAGTGTGGCCAGTACAGTTTTGGGGCCAGGAATATGTAACCCGAATCCAATCTCCAGGACACATCAGAGAAACCCCAGTAAGGAATAGTTCTGTTAAAAAAAAAAAAAGTATGTGGAAGGTGCAAGTGGGGATATATTGTGAAACAAAAAAAGTCAAAGAAATGTTTGAGATCAAAGGAGACTACAGAGACAGGGGCCGTAAATGAGAGCCTATACTAGATCTTACAATGGACAGGGAGAATGCCATAAGGGACATCACTAGTTAATAGACAAAACTGGGGAAGAAGATGGTGGATTAGATAAAATATGGTACCAATGTTACATTTACTGAAGCTGGTTGCTGTACTGTGGTAATAAGAGAAATTGTCCTTATTCTTAAATGCACACTGAATGAAACTTATTTTCAAAATAAGGACAGGAAATAAACAGTATGTGTATAGGGAGAAAGTGCAAATGATAAGCAGATGGGGAAAATGTTAACTCAAGATGGATCTGGGGCGTAGATAGGTGTTCCTTGTGCTATTCTGGTTCGTGGAATTTGGGGATACATTTGAAATTAATTCCAAATTAAAATTTTTGAAATTTTCCTTCCTCTCCTCTAATGGCGCCCCTTTGTGTTTCCAGAATGCCTGGAGTGCTTTTGCCTTGGGGCTTGTGCCTTTTTAAAGCCAAGCTGGGCTGAGCTGGAGCCCCCTGTATTCTCTAGTTTCCCGAAACTCTTCGCTTCTTTGGGAGCTGACAGAATAGGCCTGCAGTGCCCACCTCCCGTCTATGCCCTTGTCCCTCAGACCTTTTGGTCTGTCCCTCTTCTGTCACACCTACCCCTGCTTCAGTGCCCCGATACATTACTGATTAGCTGGTGCTGTTAGTCTTTCTCACTTGGCCTTTTGCTGACCTTGACCTCTATCCAATTCTTGGCCCCTTGCCCCAGTTCACTATATTCTCCCACCTTTCAGCACCAATCTCTTGGAGAGAGCACTGCTCTCTTTTGATCGTGAAGGAAACCCAGGATCCTCTTTTTAAAAACACTGTAGAACAGGGACTCAGATACCAACAGATGTCTGCACACACCAGGGAGTCCAGAGGCTTCTGGTGATAGGTCTTGGGCTCTACTGAAGCCAGAAATCCACAAATACCTTTAAAACATTTTAAAAAAGCAGTGGTCTCCCTTTCCTGTGGCAGAGGAATGCTGGAGGAATAAACAAAGGCGGTTCTTGCTTGTCTGCTCTGCCAAGTGCCCACATGGCCAGACAGATTTCAAAGAAGTGGCCCTCTGTAATTGTTAATTATCCTTCACAGCCATGTCCTTGTCCTCAAGAAGGTGCAGTCTTATTGATGAGGTGAGACACTTGAATGTGAAACCGACTGATAGCTTGTGTGATGAACTGCGTTCAGAAAAATTATAGTAAGTAATACGTGGCAGGAATTGGAGAAACCATTGTGGCTGTGGATGCAACTTGGCTGATGGAAGAAGTTGGAGAGCAACGAGGATGTGTCTCCCAGAATCTCTAGAAAGAGCCTCCTAATGGCTCTGTAGTGAAAGACAAAGCAAGCAGGCAAGGAGCCCGGCTCTGGGGCACAGGATACCAGATGGTTCATTGAAAGTCGGAGCTCAGGGTCTGAGGGGTGAGGGAAGAGGGCTCAACCCTTGGGCTTCAGCCTGCATTTTCACAAAAAGCCTCAATTTAGATTTTAGATATTATTTCCAAAAGAGGAGAGTTACAGAAGTGTTCTAGCTGGAATGCAAAAAGCCCTCTGCCATACCTCTTGACCATTCACCTGCCACGTACTTTGAATTTAAAAAAAGGAAAATCCCACATGCTACGGAGCAACTACACCCATGAGCCACAACTACTGAGCCTTTGTGCCACAACTACTGAAGCCCGTGTGCGTAGAGCCTGTGCTCCACAGCAAGAGAAGCCACCGCAACGAGAAGCCCGCACACCGCAACGAAGAGTAGCCCCCGCTCGCCGCAACAAGAGAAAACCCGCACGCAGCAACGAAGACCCAAAGCAGCCAAAATAAATAAATAAGTTCATTAAAAAAAATTTTTTTTAATTTAAAAAGTTCTGTTATTACCTTAGGAATATCTTAATTATTTTGATTTTATATTTTCCTGTTCAAAGTTTGCTTTTTCTTTTAAAGATTGGCATACTTTTTGGACCACTGGTTTGAGATTTCTTCCTTTCTGCTTTTCTCAGTATACCAGGGGCCTCAAAAGCAGAGGGCTTCCATGCTCTCAGGAGCTCTGTCCCTCCCCGCCCATGCCTGTAATAACGTCCTCTCGCCACGCGTCTCCTGCACCTGGCCAGGTGGAGTTCTCCTCTTCCTGCCACCTTCCCCACCCCAAGATTAACAGTTCCAAACCTTCTACTGCAAGCACAGTTGGTACTCAGTTTATTGGTAATTAATGAGTAGTACTTCCTTGGCAGAACATAATGGAACTACAGAGCAATCACTTAGAAAGGGAAACAACTGTCAGTTATCACTCTAATGAACCCTGTTTAACAGAGGTGATGGCAGCCCGGCTGAGGCACAACCTTCTGTGCATCGAACGTGGATCCCTTAATAACTCCATTCTGTACTGTGTGTAATTTGCAAAATAACTGCTCTCAAGGCCAAATTGTAAAGTGGCTTCAGCTATGGGTAACAGTGTAATTTTGGAACTAGTCTCAGAACTAGTTATTAACTGTTCACTGTTAATATTTGAATATGAGTAAACAGAAACAATTCTTAACATTAAAAATTTAAATAGTATGGTAGTGGTGGTGGCAATTATTGAGATGATCATAGCAGTGATGTTAACAAATGACGTTAATTGAATCATACGTGACAGGCCCTATGCTGAACATTTCATATGCATCATCTCACTTAATTCTCAGAACAATCGAGTGTTAAAAATCACTTTTCAGAAGGGCAACTTCATGGCTGTTGTGCAAATAGAAACACAGTTTAAGATCTTATTCAGCTCATTAATTTAAGAGGGTGAGGGACCTAGTAAGATGTTAAAATTAGTCCAAAAATAATTTGAGATTTTGTGTGTGTGTGTGTGTGTGTGTGTGATTTGATAGATTGTTGGGCCAGATACAGAACAGGATAATGTCCTGCTGGTCCATAAGAGCTCACACAAGTTACTGTCTCCCATCAGTTGTAAAATAGCCCTGTAAACAGAAAGTCACACCCAGCAGTGGGAACACTATACTAAAGGAATCCAGTAATCTCGTTCGCCTATTTCCAAGTTTGGAATGTTTTTTTCTGATACCTGTAAGGCAGATGGTGCTATAATTCGCACATTACAAATGGAGAAACTGAGGCTTTGTGATGTTAAGTAACTTGGCCAAGGTTATATGAGAGGTGGAGTGGTGACTGACTTGAGTCTGACTCCTTGCGCAGCTGGCGCTGCGGTGATGAAGAGCATGGGCTCAGTAAATGAACAGGTTTGAGTTCAACTCCCAGTGAACTTGGGCCGGGTAACTACTGTGCCTTTACTTTTTCATCCGTGAGGCTGTGTTGCTAATAGTTTTAAGTCACATGGTGTTGTGAGGATATGGTAGGGTGACATGTTAAAGCCTTGTGCCTGTTGTACGTGACCTTGCACTCCCTCTGTAAACGTCAGCAGCTGTTGTCGTCATCCGTACTGATCACCACGGTCGAGCACCACCTGCATGTGTCTTGCAGATAGCAGTGCCCTCACCTTCTCTACCCCGACTGGCCGCGGTTGCCTTAAAAGTCTGCGCACATCCAGAGTATGAGCTCCAGGAATCTCCGTCACAGAAAACCAATTCTCCATCACAGTTTTCGTCCAGGATCGTGACCAGATTCAACTGACCCCAGGAATAGAAAGGTAGTGTAATAGTTGGAAAAGTATCTCTTCCTCCAGGGAACAAAACGACAACAGTGCCATGTGGCTTATAAAAATATTTGCCCCCGCTATTCTATAACCTGTAAACTTTACGGGTGCATGGATCCGTGATAACTGTAGCAGGTATCATTTTAAAAACCTACTCAAAGTAAGTATCAATGTCATAATACAACACATGCTAGAGTAGATTTTTCTCAATGGCAAAAATCCAAGCATGGCATTCAGTTTTTCCTTCCTGGAACTCATGTTCCCTTGTATCAGTGACAATGGAGTTGAAATGTTTAGGTCTTGTATTGGATATCATCTCACTGTCTTGCTTTGAGCAGATGAGGTGTTGGAGCCATCTCTATCAATCTTCTCTTTTGGAATTAAGGAGTGCCAAATGACAGAAATCAGAGGTTCAGTGACAAAATGGTGTGTGCTTGGTGAATTGACCATTTTTTTAAATAAGATTTTTCTGTAGATATTAAGGAGGTTCAAATTTTTTAGGAGGTAATTTACTGGAGACACACTTCTATACTGACTCCTTACCTGTGAGATTAGAGCCTTACTGAAGTCAGCATATGTATATCTAGTTACTCACATATATCAAAAATTTCTCTTTATGCTCTCATCTTTGTTGTGTGGGGTAGAAGGAAGCGTTCATCTCAAAAATGGGACATGATTTCTTGATTTGGAATTCTTCAAAAACACATAAAAATGATTAGCTTTGTCTTCATAGGATTCATGTGTTAGATTTTTGCCTCGTCACAGCGGAAATGCAGCATGTCGGTCTTGTTATTGTGATCCTAAGATGAAGGCAGATACTCGATTAATTCTTTATGATTTTCTTGTTATCATTGATAATACAAACAATACGTCTGTACTATTTGAGAGTTGACAAGCACCAAGTATATTTTTAAACATGCCAAGTTTGTTTGGTACTCCTCCTACGTATTTTCTTAAATTTGTAAAATTGTGAAATATTTGTTTCTTGTATATTTAGAATTATTGCCTTATATGCTCTCTTACCATACTGTGAATGGTCCAAGAGACTCAGTTTAATTTTGCAGGTATATTGTTGTGAGGAATTGTTACAAAGAACTATTCTCAAAGGGTTAAGCAGTTGTTTCTAGTGGAAATAAAGTGGACTGAAAGAGACATTGAAGAGGCTTGCAAATGATATCTTAGTAACTCATATGAGGATCGCCCCAAATCTGTTTTTACAGTTTCCTTCTTGCATGGAAAGACTACAGACAGGTTTATTTTAGCTCAAATTTCTATTCCATATGGCCTTGGCACCCTCACAGCAAATGTATTTTCTATTTTACTCTTAGTTTTCTCAACCAAAATGAGACTTAAGTCACCAGGGAAATATTGCAGGATGTATTGACTTAGGGGATATATCTTTTCTAATTTGAACTTCTTTAGAAGTTCAGTTGATATAAATATCCTTTAGTGTAGTTTGCCAGGCACTGCGTACTCTAGTTCTAATCAAAAGTCATACCAAGTCAGAAGAGAATCAGGGGTTAGTGAAATTCTTCTCAACAGTTGTGTCCGTTCTACTTCCTAATGGTCATATGTCCTAAACTTTTCCTGCTTGAAACCGCTCATGAAGACATACCATGTTACTAAATGTGGGGTCCTTCAGAGTATAGTGGGCGGGGGGGAGAAGGTAGTGGAATTATGTTTTAATTGTATAGTCATTAACTGACTGAATTTGCTTTTTTCAAAATTTTTACATTAGCCTTCATGACCTTTAAAAAGATTGTGAATTAAGGTAGAACTTAAGTAATGCAGTCTCATTAACTTCAATAACGTTCAATAAAAATTCTAAATTTAAAAGACTTTCTTCCAAAAACAGTGTGTAATTGCTAAAGCATTAAATAGAGCATCACAGTTTAAAATGATTAAAAATTACTAAGTATCCATTTAGGATGAGATTTGTTTTATGATTGCAAACACCTCCAAAACAAATCGACAGTCAATTGCAATGCATGTTGCGATGTAAAAGCACCGTTAATTACTGTCAATGGTACTTCTCTAACGTACGTAAATACATCTTCTGCACCGGAGCGCTTGGCAGTTATTTCTTACTTCTTTCTAGACAGTTTAGAGATCCTAATTTATTAATATGCACAACAAGCAGAAAGATAAACATTGTTTTGAAGCTCTTGATGAATGGCGACTGGAGACATACTGTGCTTGTGCTGAGAGTAGCTATTAGCTTGTTGGCAATAACTCACGGCCCTACATGAAACAGACCCCGAAAGGGAGACCAGGAGTTTAAAATGATGTTATTAAGAGTCTCTGGAAGCACTTTATTCTGAGGTACCTCAGATTTGAAAATTTTATTAGTCTCGCTCTACACTTATTTCATTGTTTGTCCCCAGAATGTTAAACTCAGCACAGGCTCCTGCCACGGTAAGCATTATTTTTGATGCACTTTACTGAATATGACTGACAAGGACTTTTTCAGGCATACATTGGGAGGGCAGTGTTTCCTATTTACTATGTCCTTTCATCTCTGCCTGAGCTAGAATATTCATGCTGTAAAAGTAATAAAAAGAAAAAAGAATATTCTGTGTTTTCTTGCAAACCTCACCCCCAAACCCAAACAAAGTGAATGCTTTAGTGACTCACAGGTAGGATTTTCACCAATTTAGATATAAAATGTGACAGTTGGCAGAATCATATATCAACATCTGGATCCTTCTCAAGTGTCATAGGCTGAGTAGTAGGAAAGTAAAAGCAAATTTTACAATGAAATGTTTTTTGGCGTTTATTTTTATCATAGACTAGATTGAAAGGTTTTGTTTTCCCTCATATCTTCTTTAACTTTCTTTGATGGAGACATGTGTAGTCAGCTTAGCTTAGTTGCTTAATAAGTTAAAAATATCGAGTATTGATGAAAATTTCAAATATTGTTTCTAATTTTGAGTTTCCAGATTTAGCAAATAAGAATACAGGAGCCCAGATCAATTTGAATTTCAGATAAATGCAATTTTTAAAAAGATTTTAGGGTATTTTAATGTCCATTTCGTCAGTGGATGTGTTTTGCAATTATTAGGATTCACAGTTTTAAGAGTAGAGCAAAGGAAAGATGGAAAACACAAACAGTTGGTTCTTGTTAAATTTCAGTTAAAATTTGTTTCGTGTAAGTATGTCCCATGTGATACGTGGCACATACTTACCCTAAAAGATTTTTGTTGTTTGCCTGAAATTCAGCTGCTCATTCTCTGTTTCATCTGGGAATGCTCTTCTAGTTTATGATGAGAAAAAAATCAGTGCTTTTTGTGAGCATTTAAACGTACACACTAGATTTTTTAATGTGTAGAATGGCAGCAAAAATTGTAGCAATCTCCCAAGGCCGTTGGGAGTATTAAATGCATTGATACTAGTGAAGCTTGTGGAACAGTTCCTGGCATCTGGTAAGCACCTGTGGAAGAACACAAGCTTTTGTTCTCAAATGATCATTTGTTCTAATGTTAGACACCTTTTCTACCGGAAGCCTGCTGTTACAGATAAGTAAAAATGTGAAGGAATCTTCCTGATGTGATTGACAACAACTATAGTTCATCTACAAAAATATAGGGTGCCACAAGTGACCCTGTGACCGAAATATGTAAAAGTTCAATATGTTACCGTGCTCACAGGCATTGAAAAGAGCCACAACAGTGGCAACTTTTCCTTTTGCTTTTTACAGAGACACATTGTATTTATTATTATGGTATGTCAAGTCGGCTCTGGGACATATGTGTGCTTGAGAAAAGAATAGAGCAAGGATAAAGGAGCCAGGTAGGAGCCAAAGTGCTAGTCACAGTTGGTAGTGAGCAAAATGAAGTTCAGCAGTGTGAACACAGAAATTCTTATTACGCCAGATGGAAATTCACCATGGTGGTGGTGGGTGTTTTAAATGTAAGATCAGCCAGTGTTCCTGATTATTCGTTTGTGATCCCTAAGAAATGCCAAGTACGGGGCACCCCTACCTTCTATCCCTGCTCTGGGAGTCAGTGTAGAGGTCAGAGCAGGCTGGGTTATAATGTATTGTTACAAAATAGCAACAACAGTAACAAAATTTCTGAGGCTTAATCAACCATCATTTATTTCTCATCCTTGGAGGTCCCACCGTGGTTCCAGGGGTCTCTCCAGAGCTGCTCTCCTCCAAGGGGTGGCTCATCATTTTACTCCACTGCTGACTGGTGGCACCTTTATTTCAGGACTTGAGGTTTACTACAATTGTGGAAGAGAGGCATTGGCAAGTGCACATGGGCAGTGATGTGGAGCATGTTACTGCTGATCACAGCCAGTGGCCCAGAGCTGGTCATGTGGCCCTGTGCAACTGCAAGGGGGGTTCTGAAACATAGCCTTCCGTGTGTCAAGCAATGCACGTTCTGGGAGAGGACCCAGAGCAATTAGCACTAGTTTGCCATACTGGCAAATGTTGCTGATGGATTTTGCTATTCCCTTCCGCAAAGCCCAGAGGCAACTTCAGAATTCCTCTCCACTGTGTGGCAGGCAGTAGTTGGCAATCAAAACTGGCAAGAGAAGTTGAGACACAGATGTAGAGAACAAACGTATGGACACCAAGGGGGAAAAGCAGCGGGGGGTGGGGGGGTTGGGGGGGATGGTGGTGTGCTGAATTGGGCGATTGGGATTGACATGTATACACTGATGTGTGTAAAATGGATGACTAATAAGAACCTGCTGTATAAAAAAAATAAACAAAATAAAATTTAAAAATTAAAAAAAAAAACACCCAAAACTGGCAAGAGAGCTGAAACCTGTTAGCCATTGCTGCACTGCTCCCGTAAGCCAGAGAAAACATCTATTGTGGTAGGAATTTGGATGTCATGCATAGTGATTAGAGTTTTAGGAATAAGTGAAAATAGATTCTTAGGATAGTCTTTATCACAGGTTTATTGATTTGAATTTACCATCCCTCCAGCTTCTGTTTGATTCGGGAGAAGGTAGTTTCCAGGTATCCCGGTAATCAATCTCAA